AAAAACTAGCCCCTGGGGGGTTGGTGGTGAGTTGTGTACAAAATTCATATAAGTGGGATCGGGAGAGTATTCTCGCGCAAAGAAAACGATGTAGTGCGTTTTAATTCGTTTTCAGTGCATTTTTTTTATTATGGGAGACATTATCTTAATATTGAATAATTTTCCGATTTTAATTTTATCTTCCACATTCATTCAAATTGGGCTCCCTGTGACTTGTGTATCGGGAGCTCCGCTTTTAGGCAGTGCCTAAATATATTTAATATCTTATTCAACTGAGTTCTTCTTGAAGCTGTTGTGCCTATATTTCTGCTAAAATTAGTTCGCACCTCAAGATTGATTGTTATCTATTTGATTAGTTGGTTGGCATACAATTAAAACTCAGACACGTACGAATCTATGAAGCCGATGATGGTAGTGTCTAGTAGACCGTTTATAACGTTTGGCTGGGTTAGCGTGGGGCAGGGGGAGGGGGACTTTTGTGTATTCTGGATTTTAAAATAACATCTTTTTGGGCACCCTTCCCTTGATACAAACATAAAATTCTTGTAGAATTCTTCCTAGAATTGTAGAATATTATCATCAATATGAATATTATTATAAATATGAAATTACTCCATATTTTTGATAGTACTCCTGGTAAGCTGGATTCACAAAGTCCATATTGAATTTTAAATGCAAAATGAGGCTTATTTTCTATTTTTTTTGGTATATTTTTGACCAAGAGAAAAGTAAAAATAAGAAACATGACAAAACTTGTTTATTTTTATTCGTACTTGTCTGTGTTTTAATTCAGACACGTATCGTAACAAATGCTGAAGCCTGAATGTTGCAATAGCAGTTTCCACATTCAGAGCTTTATACCTTTAGAACTACCTTGATTTCAATGTAGTTTTTGCATAAGAACAGCATTTGTATATTTAATCTGTAATCGGCTCGCTCATAAGCATCGGACTTTCGTGCGGGAGGTCGTGGTTCGAATCCCGGCCGGACCAACACTCAGGGTCTTAAAATAACTGAGGAGAAAGTGCTGCCTTTGTAATTGCATCTGCAAATGGTTAGACTTTCAAAAGGCTGAAATGACCACTTTAAATGGTGGTTCCGTCTCTCCAACATTGGAGGGACGTAAAAGGTCCACTGAGGACGTAAAGAAATCCTGGCAGTGACCACCCTCAGTGCCTACACTTCATACTAACCATCTCTCATGCTTGTAAATTGCTTAAGAGCGATCCGTCATTCACAACTCAATGTAAAGCGCCATTTGATTATATCCACATAGAAATTAAAGGGCGCTATATAAATCATAAATCATCATATTGTATTTCTTACATGAAGTACTCAGTGTACGATCGATGCGACAAAGCGTTAAAATAGGTCCGTTAATAAGTAAGAAAGAAGCTCTCTCGCAACACAAAGCAAGTGCCCGCGGTATTTCAATCGGAAAAAGTTAATAGAATAGGTGACCTTTCTGGGAAAATGAATGTTCTTAGTGTTCTCAAGCTATCTACTACCTTGGTTTTGGGCTGTTTGAACTTCGGCTATTTTGCACTTCTATTTTTCGTTTGCACGTGACGTCATAGAGCAAGAAATAAAATAACAACTTAAAATTAATCATGGTTGCAAACGTCAAAACATGCCGTGTTCGTAGAAGATTATCTCCCTATCAGTTTATTTGAATTATATAATTTAATACTCAACTAACAGTTTTAGGGCACAAAAATAATCGTTCAAAGTTTGATTACGAAAGACCTTTTGGTTTCTGTTTGAGCGAATTTTTAAATTAACTAATTTCACGCTCTCGATCGTGTCCTGTCAAATGGCCAACTTCGTTTTTCGCTTCTCAAAAAAATGAAAAAAGTTTTTTCCCAAAAATAATTTGTACCAGTGACTAGCCCAATAGTAGGCTTTCTTCAGGCAAAGGTTGAGGTAGGGCGATTATATTTTTGTCTCATTTACAGCTTTGCTCTATCCTAACCTTACACGGACTGCCTCTTAGTTTCTTGTCATTTCTTCAAAACATAGGTCCCAGTTGTTTTTCTGTCCACACAGATTGCTAAGGAATCTGCTTTCCATGCATTGCGAGATTTTTAGGTTTAAGCTTAAAAAGACATTTCATGATATTTTAAAGGAATTTTATTCGAGGGTTCGATTGATCGTACATTGAGGCTTGAACGGTAATGCAATTAAACTTAACACAAAGTAATGCCACCTTGCAAGGAACAATAAATTACTCCATATTTTTGATAGTACTTGTACTCCTGGTAAGCTGGATTCACAAAGTCCATATTGAATTTTAAATGCAAAATGAGGATGGTCTTCTATGTATCCCAGCCATGCTACCAGGGATCTGAACGTCCTAGCACCCTCTCTTCTAAAAAAACTAATTAAAGGATTGTATCATCTCAAGATGTGGGAAACAAGATGTAACCCTACAGTTCACAAACAATTCAAACATCTATTGGACTGTGCATACATTTTCCAAGATTAACAAGAGTAAAAAAAACCAAGAAACATGACAAAACATGTTTATTTTTATTCGTAAGCTGGATTCATCAAGTCCATATTGAATTTGAAATGTAAAATGAGGTTTATCTTTTACTATCCCAGCCATGGCGCCAAGGATCAGAACGCCCTTCCACCCTTCCTTAATTATAGAAACTAATTAAAGAATTGCATATTATATCTCAAACTCTAAGAAGAAGACCACTAATATTTAAAATGCATGCAAACCCTATGAAATGAATCAGTGATAGATTAGTTGTGGCAATTCTACT